CGGGTTTGCTGCTGGTTCTTCCCGGGTTGGCTACTGTCCCTTCCACCTCCGTGGAAGGGCGGTTCCCCCTGGCCACTTTCCCCACTTCCGCAGGGGAGCGGCACACCGCCGGCGGGCTCTCTCGGGGGCTGCACAGGTGTTCCTTCAGATAGATGTTCCCCCTAGATGTTCCTGGTGCATGGTGTCTCTCTCCTCCTTTATAGTCCTCTTCCACCAATCCCAACTCTGCTACCCACACGCCGAGTACGCTGCTCTCCTCCAATCAGGAGCAGGTCCTACAGTTTATTGGTTGAACTGGAGGCAGCTGCGTAGAAGCTGTTTCTCCCTTCTCAGCGCCATATTGTGGGAGAGCAGATGTATAGAATAAGTCTTAATTCCAGTAACAGTCTAGTCCGGGTTGCTCCCCACAGCTTGGTCTGGACCACCCCTGGCTATTGTGGCCATCTGGGAAGACAACCAATGAATTTAAGATATCTCTCCCTCTCTGACTTTCCAAATAAATAAATAAAGGGCTTTTTTCTTTCCTTAACTGCTTCAAATAGTGTTAATTAACAATGAATCAGGCCTGCGCCGCGGCTCACTAGGCTAATCCTCCACCTTGCGGTGCCGGCACATCGGGTTCTAGTCCTGGTCGGGGCGCCGGATTCTGTCCCGGTTGCCCCTCTTCCAGGCCAGCTCTCTGCTATGGCCCAGGAGTCCAGTGGAGGATGGCCCAGGTCCTTGGGCCCTGCACCCACATGGGAGACCAGGAGAAGTACCTGGCTTCTGCCATTGGATCAGCGCGGTGCGCCGGCCGCAGAGCGCCGGCCGCGGTGGCCATTGGAGGGTGAACCAATGGCAAAGGAAGACCTTTCTCTCTGTCTCTCTCTCTCTCACTGTCCACTCTGCCTGTCAAAAAAAAAAAAAAAAAAACCAAAAAAAAAAAACAATGAATCTAATCCATGGCAACTTCTCTGGTCTGTTACAACAAAACTCACTAAGGGTCTCAACACATTATTCCAAGATAAAGAGGCATATTCACGGCAACATAGATTATGAAGAATGTTTGGAAGAACAATGGAAATATTCGCTGAGCTGGGGAAGGATAAACAGCTGTTGTCCAGCATGTCTGACAAACCAGAGGAACACATATATCCATAAATCATTTAAATATCCTTCCAATGATGGTACAAACACCAAAAATTTACCAAAGCTTAAGGCATCTTAAGAGTGCCAGACTAAAACTGTATTTCCACATGCAGAAGCATGAAAGCCAGACCCCTACCTTTCACCTTACACAAAGATTCACTCAACATGGATTAAAGATCTAAACCTATGACCCGACACCATCAAATTACTAGAGAACATTGGAGAAACCCTGCAAGATACAGGCATAGGCAAAGACTTCTTGGAAAAGACTCCAGAGGCACAGGCAGTCAAAGCCAAAATTAACAACAGGGATTACATCAAACTGAGAAGTTTCTGTACTGCAAAAGAAACACTCAGGAAAGTGAAGAGGCAACCAACAGAATAGCAAAAAATATTTGCAAATTATGCAACTGATAAAGGATTAATAAGCAGAATCTACAAAGCGATCAAGAAACTCCACAACAACAAAACAAACAACCCACTTAAGAGATGGGCCAAAGACCTTAATAGACATTTCTCAAAAGAAGAAATCCAAATGACCAACAGACACATGAAAAAATGTTCAGGATCACTAGCAATCAGGGAAATGCAAATCAAAACCACAATGAGGTTTCACCTCACCCCAGTTAGAATGCCTTACATACAGAAATCAACAATAGATGCTGGCGAGGATGTGGGGAAAAAGGCACACTAATCCACTGTTGGTGGGAATGAAAACTGGTAAAGCCACTATAGAAGACAGTTTGGAGATTGCTCAGAAACCTGAATATAGCCCTACCACATGACCCAGCCATCCCACTCCTTGGAATTTACCCAAAGGAAATTAAATTGGCAAATAAAAGAGCTGTCTGCACCTCAACATTTATTGCAGCTCAATTCACAATAGCTAAGACCTGGAATCAACCTAAATGCCCATCAACAGTAGACTGGATAAAGAAATTATGGGATATGTACTCTATAGAATACTATATAGCAGTAAAAAAAAAAAAAAAGGAAATTTGGTCATTTGCAACAAAATGGAGAAATCTGGAACACATCATGCTGAAAGAAATAAGCTAGTCCCAAAGGGACAAATATCATTTCTTTCTGATCAGTGATAATTAACTGAGAACCTAAAAGGAAACCTGTTGAAGTGAAACGGACACTATGAGAAACAATGACTTGTTCAGCCCTTGTCCTGACTGTCAAGGAACAACTTACTATTTTATTTTCGTATTTTTTGTTGTTGTTGTTCTACTTAATACCACTAGTTGAACTCTTTAATTAACACACAATTATTCTTAGGTGTTTAAATTTAACTGAAAATTGATCCCTGTTAAATATAGGATGGGAATAAGAGAGGGAGGAGATGTACAGTTCGGCACATGCTCACTCGGACTTACTCCTAATGTTAAGTTAGAAACATGCAGGGGATTCCAATTCAATCCCATCAAGGAGGCATGTACCAATGCCATCTCAATAGTCAAAGTGATCAGTTTCAGTTCATAATTGATCATAATGCTAGGATTAGGTGTCAAAGGGATCGCATAAATAAGACTAGTGTCTGCTAATACTAACTGATAGAATTAAAAAGGGAGAGAATGATCCAACATGGGAAGCGGGATACACAGCAGACTCATAGAATGTCAAAGCCCTAAGCAGCACTCTGGCCTCAGAATCAGCCCTTAAGGCATTCAGATCTGGCAAAAAAGTCCATGAGAATTCCTCATGCATGGAAAGCCAAGACACTGTTGCAAAAAATGAAATACATGAAAGATGTCTGTGAGTGAGATCCTGATGGAAAGAAGGGACCATCAAAGAAGGAGGTACCTTTCTCTGAAGGGAGGAGAGAACTTCCACTTTGATTATGGCCTTGTCTAAATAAGGTCAGAGTTTGTGAATTCAAGAGTCTTCCATAGCCTTGGAAGCTCATGACAAGATTACTGACATCATAAATAAGAGTGTCAATTGTTAAATCAACAATGTTAAATCAACACTTGCTCCCCATGTAGGATCTCTGTCCTTAATGTGCTGTACTATACGAATTAATGGTAAAACTACTACTCAAACAGTACTTTATACTTTGTGTATCTACATGGGTGCAAACTGTTGAAATCTTTACTTAGTATATACCAAGTTGATCTTCTGTCTATAAAGATAACTGAAAATGAATCTTGATGAAGAATAGGATGGGAGAGGGAGTGGGAGATGGGATGGTTGCGGGTGGGAAGGAAGTTATGGGGGGGAAAGCCGCTATAATCCAAAAGTTGTACTTTCGAAATTTATATTTATTAAATAAAAGTTTAAAAAAAGAGTCCCAGACTACTCCTATTACTTCCTCAAACTATGAATGGGCCTGAGCTACTCCAATATCTACAAAGAACCTGGCACTTTATTTCTCACCATACCAAGGACTAAGAAACTATACCAAGTATTTCTTGTTTAAAACTGAAAATCTGTTTTAATATTTTTCTTCAGATTTATTTCTATTTATTTGAAAGAGAGAGAGAAGGAGAGAGAGACAGAAAGAGCTTCCATCCACTGGTTCACACCCCAAATGGCTGCAACAGCAGGGCTTTGCCAGGCCAAAGTCAGGAGCCTGGAGCTTCTTCCAGGTCTCCCATGTGGGTGCCCAAACACTTTCACAGCTTTCCCGGGTGCATTAGTAGGGAACTGGATCAGAAGTGGCCCATCTGGGTCTCTAAGTGGCACTCATGTGGGTTGCCAGCATCCCAGTCAGTGGCTTAACCCACTAAGCCACAACACTGGCCTCAGTTTTTACTACTTTAAATGAAATCAATGCTTTGAATCTACAATAGTCATTATCTTGCTGAGAAATAAATTAATTTGTGCAACCAGCTGTGAGAGGTCTTAACGCATGTTTTGATTTGTTGCAGTAAAATCAAACTGAAAAGATAGGAATTTAGAAACTATAGGTTTCAGGGACTGGCGCTGTGGTGCAGCGGGTTAAAGCCCTGGCCTGAAGCGCCGGTATCCCATATGGACACCGGTTCTAGTCCCGGCTTCTCCTCTTCCAGCTCTCTGCTTTGGCCTGGGAAAGCAGCAGAAGATAGCCCAAGGCTTTGGGCCCCTGCACCCATGTGGGAGACCCGGAAGAAGCTCCTGGCTCCTGGCTTCAGGTTGGCTCAGCTCCAGCCATTGCAGCCATCTGGGGAGTGAACCAGCGGATGGAAGACCTCTCTCTCTGTCTCTACTTCTCTCTGTGACTCTGTCTGTCAAATACATAAACTAAATCTTTAAAGAAAAAAAAAAAACTATAGGTTTCACCAATCTCTCAGGATGTATGCTTAGAAAAAACCTAAAATCCTTTCTAAACCAATAAAACTGGAAAAGACAGGTGGGCATTTGTTCTAGGAGTTAAGATGCCTTTTGGGACACCAGCATCCTAGAGCAGAATGCCTGGGTTTGAGTCTCAGCTCCACTCCCAATTCCAGCTTCCTTGTAATCCACACCCTGGGAGGCAACAGATGATGCCTCAAGTCGTTGAGTCCCTACCACCCATATGAGAGATCTGGGTTGAATTCTTGACTCTTGAGCCATTTGGGCAGTTAATCATCGGGCAGAAGATCTGTCTCACTTTCTGTCACTCAAAATTTAAAAATAAATAGATTAAATAAATAAAATAGGCCAAGAACTGGTAATACACCTAATTCCCTCTGTCAGCTTCTTTTTGAATAAGCTTATTTTTGACATTGCTTGGTCAAATAGTGTCTCAATTCACCACTCCTCTGCTCCCTCCAAAATATTTCCTCAAAATATTTTCCATAGAAAGAACCAAGAAAAAATTATTAACAAAAAGGAAATAAAACTATTTGTCATTAGCACAGAGGAAAAGGGAAGTAAGTGGAAAACACATCGAGGAGGGGACTTACCGGACAAAAGTAGGTATTCTCCACAATGTGATCAGCCACCATACTGTTCTCAGCAGAGAGAGACATGATGAACAGCAAGGCATCCCGAGCCTGCTGGCCTACTGCCCCCTCTCGATGAATGAAGGGAATCAGAAGGGAGAAGATGAGGAAGTTGGCAGCCCCCTGGTCCTCACTAGTGTGGAAGAAGAGCTCCAGAATGGAGGGATCTTTGGCAAGGATGGAACAAAGCTGATTGAGCAGGACAACCAGCTTCCCCTCCACAGCTGGGGTGGTCGTTCCCGAACAGGAGCTCAGCAGCATCATCAGGGGCTTCAGAATGGGCTTGTGGTGCAGCAGAGGCTGGTGTGACTGAGTGACCAACATCTCATACATCTTCAGCTGCTCAATTTTAGTCTCGTCAGTAAATTCCCGTCTCAAGCTCCAAAGGAAGAGCTTCTCCATGATGTTCTCAGAGACCACAAATTCCAGAATTGGCCCCATTGCAGCATCCTTGGCTTGCTCTTCAATTAGCAGGAAGAGCATATGTTCTACATAATTCTGCACAGCACTGGCCTCATCTGGAGGGATGGACCCATATTTTGCCTGGGTGTTCTTCAAGGGGTCGTGCTTCTCTAAGATTTTTACAACCTGAAACCAAACAAAACATTTGTCATCTCTCTGATGCTTATCATAATTACAAAAGCACAACACTAATTCTTACCAAATCTTCACTAGAAATGAAGAAGCCACTACCCACAAGATACATATGAGCCTTGTCTCTCTCCTCTCATGAGAGTAAAATGAAGGTGTTAAACAACAGAAAGAAGTGATTAGAAGATATTCATTGGGGCAGGCGCTGTGGCTTAGCCGGTAAAGCCACTACCTGCAGTGCCGGCATCCCATATGGGAACCAATTCGAGACCTGGCTGCTCCACTTCTGATCTAGCTCTCTGCTATGGCCTGGGAAAGCAGTAGAAGATGGCCCAAGTCCTTGGGCCCCTGTACCCGCGTGGGAGACCTGGAAGAAGCTCCTGGCTCCTGGCTGCGGATCAGTGTAGCTCCAGCCATTGTGGTCGTTTGGGGAGTGAACCAGCAGATGAAAGACCCTTCTCTCTGCCTCTCCTTCTCTCTCTGTGTAACTCTGACTTTCAAATAAATAAACAAATCTTTCAAAAGAAAAGAAGATATTCATTTAAAATTATTACAAGAATTTGGATGCTTGGTACAGCAGGTAAGATGTCACTTAGGATGCCTGCATTCCATATCAGAATGCTGAGGATCAATTCCCAGCTTTGATCCCAATTCCAGCTTCCTACTAATGCACACCCTGGGAGGCAGAAGTGATGGTTCAAGCAGCCAAGTCCTTGCTGCCCATGTGAGAGGCCCAGATTGAACTCCAGATTCCTGGCTTTGGCCTGGCCCTCCACTGGCTACTGCAGGTATTTAAGGAGTAAACCAGTGGATAAGAGATTTCTCTCTCTCTCATTCTCTGTTCCCTTCTCAAATAAATGAACTAAATAATTTAAAATAGCTTAATATTTTGCCAGCCTACATAACAAAGAAAATAGTATGGTTCTATGAATTAAGACACATGCATTCCTTGGACTCTTATTACAAAGACTGCTGAGCAAAAGGAAAAACTGTAAGTGGTATATTAGATGAAAAAGTAAGCTACCTGTATTTGTTAGATCCATAATTATCAACTATGTCAAAGACATATATATGAAAACAGTGAAAAGAAATATGCAAAAATGACATTTTATATTCAAAATGACAAGTTCTTAAATCTTTTCTAAACTGTCAATAATATAATATTTCTCTTAAAATGCTAAATTACGTTAAATAAGTAAAAGGAAACCTAACTTTCCATACTCTCCTACAAATAGAGTTGTTTTGGAGATTTTAGTAGAATTAACACAGTAACTTATATATATATATATATATATATATATATATATATATATATATATATTAAAGATTTGTTTATTCGAATGGCAGAGAGAAAGAGACCCTCCATTTGCTGGTTCACTCCCCAAATGCCCACAACATCCAAGGCTGGGCAAGACCAAGCCCAGGAGCCCAGAACTCCATCTAGGTCTCCCACATGGGTGGCAGGAATCCAAGAACACAGGCCATCATCTATCTGCTGTCTTCTTGGGTGCATTAGCAGGAAGCTGGATCAGAAGCAGAAGATATGGGTCTCACTCAGGCACACTGATATGCAATACCAGCATTTGACATTTGAAGTGGCAGCTTGATCCACTGGGCCACAACACCCCAAACCTACTGGTACGTCTCTGACCACATGATATCCTTCCCTCCTCTACTAAGATGTGGGTCCTCTTCAATCATGCATGCAGCAGTAACAAGGAAGCTGATGAGAAAGAGATCTGTAGGTAGCATAATCAACCCTAAAATAGGGAATGTGCTAAAACTACAAAATTAAAGATTTGAATCCTGCATCTTTTTAAACTGAAAAATTCTACAAGAATCTATTACAAAATAAATCCTAAAAGTGTAAGTTTGGGAATAGCGGTAATGACTGTGAATGTAATAAATGCCACTGAATTATACATTTAAAATAATTAAGGTGGCACATTTTTAATATGAACTACACACACAAATCAATTAACCATAATAAATAAATAAATCTCTCAATCAAGTCCTTGGTCTGTGTCTGTCCCTTACCATTGCTGGCATTTGATTGCTTCCTACCCCTTTCTGTTTACTAATAGTTATTTCTACTTTGGAACCTGGACATTAAAACAATCTTATATCTCAATTTCTATTTAACTTTATGACTTGGAATTTCCACAATACCCATAATTTATTCCCTTTAAAATGTATACACATGATAATTTTTTAAACAACAAAATGTTTTACTGATGGTTTTATCTTTGTTACTTTTTGCCTTTCTGAACTGTATGGAAAGTCTGTCTTTTGCAGTACTCTCCCAGCCCAGTTCTAAGATGTGCCAAAGCATGTTCTGTATTTAGGTCACAAGATTTCTGCGAAGTCACTGGGGAAGCTGGAAAATGTTCAGTGCTATGTCAGCAGGCATGAGCAATGAAGAAAACTTACTTCTCAGGGAGAGATCTATGTTTCTCTCCTGCCAGAAGCAGGGGAAAGGAATCTTTATAGACTGGGCAGCTACATCCTGAGAGAATGAATGCATTTCTGTAGAATCTATAATCTCTATCAACTTCCATTATAAAGTCAATAATGTTGTGTCACCTCCACACCCTTGAGTTGACATTTTCAATGAGGAAAGCCTCCCATCAGCAGTTACCAGGATGTACAGGGACCACTGCTGGCTACACTGGAGCCACTGGACTTCTCTTCTGCTGCATGCCTGCCTCCAGGGTATGCAGACGACCCCACCACTGACCCCACCACCTCCAAGGAGGAGCCCTCCAGAACCCCTCACAGGTTGATGACCTCACCAGTGGCAGAAACCCAGGACCTACTGTGCTCACTTCCCTCTACTCTGGGCCTAGAGAGCATCTCATACGGTGCAATCAGTACCACACTGGTCCTAGAGAGGCCTCTGCCTCAACACCACACACTCTCCAGCCCTTAAAATCCCTCAATTCAAGGCTCTACATTCTGAAGAACAAATTTGCTACCCACTTTATCAGTTCTGTAATTTCAAAGTCCACATACTGAGTTTACTTATGACAGCTATCTTTACAGCTAAGCCTCTGGGTAAAAATGTAATTACACTTCTCATGTGTGCTCAGACTGTCTAAACTGTCTAAAACTGGGACTGTGCCTTACACATTGACAGTAGTGTAGGAAATTAGCTCAATCTTTTTGTAAGACAATCTGGCAATATGTAACAGAAATTACAAAATTGTCCCTGCCCTTTGAATTATTAATCTGACTTTGGGGAAAATGTCCCAGGAAACAACTCAAAAATTTGTTTAAAAATGTTCACACCAATGATATTTTCCAATAATGAAAAATAAAAATAGTATCAACCTTGTTATGAGTAAAATAATAATTAAAATGTTATATCAACATATAATATAACTATGGAAAATAAACACTAAATGAATTATATAATTGCATGCAAATATATACATGAAATAATGTAAGTTGAAAACACATATACTAAAGCAGGCATTGAATCTATAAGTTGAGATGTCCATATCCCTTGCTGGAATTCCTGGGTTCGATTCCAGCTCTTGACTCTAGCTTCCCACCAATCCAGATCCTGGGAGGCAGCAGTGATGGCTCATGTCTGTCACCCACATGGAAGACCTGGATTGCATTCCTGGGTCCTGGCTCTGGCTCCAGCCCAGCCCCTGCCACTTCAGGCATTTCGGGAATGAACCAGTAGATGGTAGCATGTGCTCTCGTTCTCTCTCTTGCTATCTTTTTCTCTCTGCCTCTCTAACAAAAATAATTTTCTTAAAAGGTAAATGTATACATGCTTAGAAGTGAGTCTGAAGAAATATAAATGATATTTTAAAGTTAATTCATTATTTCCTATAAATTGACCAAATTTTCTAAGAAAAATAAAAGAATAATTTTGTAATAATACCAAATGAAAGGACCCACTCATTTAAAAGCAGTAATTGGAAATCTCTTAAATCTCAGAAACTCCTAAATATATACATATAAATACACATATATTTATGCAATATACACATGCAAATATTACATATCTAAATGTATATAACATACAGCAAAACTCTACATGATCACAAATTATATTTTTCTCATGAATTAATCTTAATTTATATTACTCTTTCCAGTGCATTCCTTTACAAACAGATCTACTTTTTGTGCTGTAATTAAACCTTAAAAACAGAACCAAGATTTTCATACAGAATGCAAACTACTTAAACAGCTTTTAAAGTGAAGCACCTTTACCCTGCTCCTTTACACTGCCTTCTGGGTTAATGGGCAGAGAAACAATTAACCGTCAGCTATAGAAGGTCTGTTGATCTTCTGGAACGGAACAGAGTAAGACCACTTTCAGCATTTCCAGCCTTGGCCCGGTGTTTTACTGCCTGGAAGACGGGTGTGTTAAAACCAAGGCTTCTGAGTCATGGAATACACAATGCTCCGCAAGGTGCTGACTTGCCTGTATTGCCACACATCTTTAACCTCTCTTCTTGGGTGTCAGGCCCTCCCAGACTACCTCCTTTTCCCTTGCAGGAGGATACACCCAGGGTGTAGCTTTTACAAGTAGGCTGTGGGGCCCACACCCTGGGATTGGTTCCCACCCTGGGAGGGAATTCTTAAGAAGCTTCTTGGCTAGAACACAACTTTTTTTTTTTTTTTTGACAGGCAGAGTGGATAGTGAGAGAGAGAGAGACAGAGAGAAAGGTCTTCCTTTTGCCGTTGGTTCACCCTCCAATGGCCGCCACAGCTGGCGCGCTGCGGCCAGCATACCATGCTGATCCGAAGGCAGGAGCCAGAAGCTTCTCCTGGTCTCCCATGGGGTGCAGGGCCCAAGGACTTGGGCCATCATCCATTGCCTTCCTGGGCCACAGCAGAGAGCTGGCCTGGAAGAGGGGCAACTGGGACAGAATCTAGCGCCCCGACTGGGACTAGAACCTGGTATACCGGTGCCGCTAGGTGGAGGATTAGCCTATTGAGCCGCAGCGCCGGCCTAGAACACAACTTGCACTGAAATG